ATCAAAACTACCTCAGACTATAGCGAGTGAAATAAAACTAGCTGTATCTTCTTTGGAACACGATCCTTTGACACCTTCCTCAAATTTCACACATAAGTTACAAGATTCACCACGAAAACGAAAATTTAAGCAATGCTTACAACAAAAAAAAATTATATTAAAAGGCTCCAATTACAAAAACGCTATTTAAAAAAAAAGTTGTTGGTTTACAAGAGTTATTAAATGAACTATCCGGAAAATGTTTGATAAGTAAAGAAAATAAAGTTGTTTTACAAAATATTGGGGTTGAACAAAGTGAACTCATAAACAGACAGCTGCTTAAAACTAAAACGGGACATCTGCCTAGGACTAAGTATTCTCCAGAACTCAGATGTTTTGCTTTAACTTTACATTACTATTCACCGAAAGCTTATCGGTATGTGCGCAAAACATTTTGAACGTGTCTGCCCTCACCACGTACTATAACAAAGTGCTATAGTACAATTCATGGCCGACCTGGCTTCACAAAGGAAGCGTTAACTGCTTTAAAACTTAGAGCAGAGATTAATCCTGACAAGAAATTGTATTGTACATTAGTGATAGATGAAATGAAAATAAAACAATTGACGGAGTACCATGCAAGTTCTAAAAGACATTTTGGTTATGTTAATTATGGATTTGACTTCATTTCTGACAATTCGGAGGAGGCCACTGATGGTTTAGTATATTTATTAGTGGGCATTAATACTACTTGGAAAGTCCCCATTGGGTAAGAAGTAGTAAATGGTACAAGTGCTGACCTAAAAGCACGACTTGTGACCCAAGCTTTACATCTAGTTCATGAAACCGGAGTTTACATCAAAGCATTTACATGCGACGGTACGAAGGCAAATCTTGCTATGAATGAAGAGTTAGGCTGTTGTTTAAATACAGAAAATTTACAGACTGCTATATTAGATCCACGTACGGAGCACAAAATTTTCTTTTTTCTAGATCCCTGCCATATGCTGAAACTGGTACGTAATGCTTTTGAGTTTTATAAATATTTTATCCAAAGTGCTTCTGGTGATAAAATCCGGTGGTCACATTTGCAAAATATGCATGAGTTACAGGAGAATGAACCTTTTTACATGGCAAATAAATTAAAAGCTAATCATATATATTTTAAAACTAAAATAATGAATGTCCGGCTAGCAGCCCAACTCTTCAGCACTAGTGTAGCAAATGCCTTATTATTTTGCAAAAATGTATTAAATTTACCTTTATTTGAAGACTTTGCGCCCACAGCAAATTTTTTAAAGTTAGTTAATGATGTTTTTGATATTCTCGACTCAAAAACTTGGTCTAAAAGATTTAAACGAGCATTAAATATTAATAACTATGAAAGAAACTTTACCAGGTTGGATGAGGCTAAAGATGTTCTATTAAACTTAGAAACCAATGTCATTTCTCGTAATAATGTATACAAGCGAGTTAATAATTTAAAGAGTCCTCGGTACACAGGATTTTTAGGGTTTCTTGTATGCATTAAAAGTGCTAAACGCATATTTGACGATTTAGTATTAGGTCCAGATGCTTCACTTACCTATTTACCACTACACAAAATTGGCCAAGACCATATAGAAATTTTATTTTCAAACATCAGAAGTCATGGTGGTCATTCTGATAATCCTTCCGGACGTCAATTAGAAGACATTTATAAAAAGTTGCTAATACATACCAAATTGATTCGAACTGAAAGAGGCACTAACTGCATACCCTTAGAAAAGATTTCTATTCTTAATTGTTCATCAGCTGTTGATAGAATAAATTTGACCAGCCGAAAAGAGGACACAGACTTGGACGTCATCTCGAGCAGTGGAATAACTGAAGAAAATATGGTAGCGGACATAGAGACTTACAGCTATTTGTCACCTTTTGGCGAAAAAGTGGTCGAATATATAGCGGGTTTTGTTGTTTTTAGTATAATAAAAAAATTAAGTGTAGCACATGCATTAAAGCTCTTCTGGGTGTACCGGACGAAAGTAGTTTAATTTATCAGACAAGTAGAGGTGGCTTAATGTATGCATCTAAAGAGGAAATTAATTTGTGTCGTCTTTGTGAAATAGAAATTAGAAAAAACTTAACTCCTGACAAAAAGGTTAACCAGTCCTGCTCAACGATAGTTATTAGAAATAAAATACTTAAACGTTTTGTTGGCAAGCCGATATTTTTAGGCATATAGGAACATTATTTTGATATTGATTACGTTCCACATAACATTGAACTGGCAAACTTGGTGATAGAAAAATATGCAAACACTAAAATTAGCTACCTCGCAAAAAAGAGTGATCCCAAATCCCAAAAAGTCGTTACATATATACCAAACTTATTCACTTTAAAACCAGTAAAAACATAATATAATTTAATTTGAATAATTAATTTTTTTTTAACTAATTAATTTAATATAATTTTTCACTTTGTTTTAATTTTGGTAATTTTGTAATGTTTGTTTGTTTGGTAATGTTATATTACACATTAAACATACTTTTGTCTTATTGTTTATTTTAATTTTATTTTATTTGCTAATGTAACTTGCATAAAATTTCATCGGCATATCCATATCGACAAGGCCCTCGCACTAGTTGTTTATGCTTTTTTTCACTGTAAAGCCAGGCGTCGACTACAGCAGAAATGCGTCGAATCGAAGCGAGTCGCATTTATTCCTAGTGCGTCCATCTCTGGCGAATCGAATCGAATTGTTCATTCATCGTAAATTCTTCATAAAAATAGGTCGTTTTTGCGTCATGGACTGCTCGGATGAAGAGATATTTTAATTTCACCGTGATAATGTGGATCTTCATGATTAAACGATTCTGGATATTGTTGGACCAGTGATATTGTTACGAGCTTGGGATTCGAGACAATTAAAAACTGCCGATTGAATTACCAAAATTGACACTTTAATTACACAACACTAATTACAATCTAAAATTACACTAATAATAAAACACAGTTCGCCGTTATTTCGCTTCGAAGTAATCTCTTGTATCGCCAATTCAATACTGCCCCGGTCGTGGTCTATACCGGCCTTATATAGGGCCTCAGATAGTTTCCAGAACCTTCTACTGTAGCGACATCTAGAATGTTCGAGTACATATCGGTCCCGAAAAATCTGGAAGGATCTCGACTCTCCTAGTTCTGCTACTCGACACTAGAGGGCGCTAGTGTGACTAGTGTTGCCATGTACAAGACATTAATAGTGGCGCGCAATACTTTGATTTACTCGACACTAGGGGGCGCTAGTGTAACTAGTGTTGCCATGTACAAGACATTAATAGTGGCGCGTAACAATATCAATAGTTTTTCATTCATTTTTATTTAAACAAAATGATTATTACGAAAACGAAATAAAAATTAATGGCGCGCATCCACTTCTCCGCGTCGACTGAGGCGTGCCGAGTTGAATCGAATCGCATCGGCGAAGAAATTCGCCTGTCAAGCAATTCGCGCGGTCGATTCAATTCGGCGCGCTGGGACTCGTCACTAATGGACGCAGTTTCATAGTAAATATATAGGAGGCGACTTTCTGCGATTCGATTCGACTCGGCTCGGCGAGCCTAGTGGACGCTTAGCCTAACGATGAGACATTTATGAGAAATTTTCAAGGTTGTCTGCGTTTTGCTTAATCTTGTGTTCATATTATGCTGTATGCGTGCGTAAAGACGTGGCCCAATGTTTACGATTTACTTAGTGTGCGTTACCTCGCCTCCCGCTAGAAGTGACATACTTTTTTGTTTGGAACTTTAGTAGGAGTAATAGTGTTCTGTGTTTATTCTCCGCTAGGAGTAAAGTATTCTGTGTTTATGCGCATGGGGTCTCCTCAAGCATTTTTGTTTGTGGAATGTTAAAGAGTGAGAAATTCGATAGAAATGTGATAACTCTTCTGTTTTTATACGTTATTTCTAATGTTATTGTACATCAAACTAATTGTGAACATATTTTCTTTAGTAATTATGTATGATTACGAAAATTCCAAAACGTTTACATATACCTAATAATTTAGCTCGAAATTTTAATCACTATACGCGATCATCGTTTATTGATTATATATTGTTTAAAATGTATTCTAATCAGTTTTTTGTGTTAAATGAATGTTAAATATAAAAGAATGATTTACTATTAACACGTTGATAGCAATTTATAAACGAAATATCTGTTGAGATGTGTCTAGAAATTATTAAAACTAATTTTTATTTATTTATTTTCTTTTTTATTCAAATTTATATTGGGTAAACATCATATTCTTATGTATATTGAGTATATAAGATATTATTGATATTGGTGTCATTTTAAAGGGAATATCATGTACTATTATAATATAAAATAATTATCTCCAGTAAGTATTATACTTTTCTTGTAAAACTCGTAAAATACGATATTTTTGATATTTCCATTTTTAAGTCTTTATTTTTAATTTGACTAATTTTCTTTTAACAACATTACATTTTGAATTCTTTGAGTCTTTTGAGAATAATTTTTATTTGAATGTGGCTATAGTAGTTTTTCAGTAGTAGGGTAGACTGGGTACGATTGAAACAGTGGACGGTTGAAACAAAGCCAATATCTCGACACCGTGCGTGATGAGATGAGGGGTGCAAGGAGAGAACGAAGTGGGAGACAAGTCGAAACATGAATTTCAGTGTTGAGTCCCTCTTTGCGCGCTGTGCTTGTGTATAGGAGGCCCCAGTGTGTTTTTTGACGGTAAATTAAGTATTTTTTGTTCGTACATTTTTGCAATTATGCTTCACAGCTTCATTCTAGCGATTTATGTTAACTTATTGTAGCTCCACTTCCAAGCTTGCAGCCTTGCACGGTATTTAAAGGGAGGAAAAAATAATTTAATGGCAACACTGTCAGACGCCACTAGCTCCTGCATATCCCGCGGTACTCGCTTCATTCGACATTTCCGTGCTCAAGCCTTCGCACATAAGTTTTCGCATCAATCTTGCTTAGTAAAGATTGTTATAATTTTTATTATAATGGGAAACAAAAGAAAAAAGGAAGAGTGTAAAAATGATAAAATTCTAAAGAATATAAGGAAACTTGAGAAGAAATTATCACAAAAGAAGCGTGTTTTACGTCTACCGTCTAGTTCGAGTGACGAAGATTGCAGTAAGCGTCTACATGTTTATTCTTAAATGAATTTGTAAAATCTATGATTATGTGAAGCGAGGAACTAATAGGGTTCTCTCTGTTACTGTAATTAGATAAATACAAACAAAACTTGTACAAAATATAAGAATGTGATGCGAGAAATTATTAGGGTTCTCTCTGTTACTTTATGGAGAAATTGTAAGTACATAATATAAATAATGTGATGCGAAGAACTATTAGGGTTCGCTCTGTCACTTTATGGAGAAATTGTAAGTACATAATATAAAAAATGTGATGCGAGGAACTATTAGGGTTCGCTCTGTCACTTTATGGAGAAATTGTAAGTACATAATATAAAAAATGTGATGCGAGGAACTATTAGGGTTCGCTCTGTCACTTTATGGAGAAATTGTAAGTACATAATATAAAAAATGTGATGCGAGGAACTATTAGGGTTCGCTCTGTCACTTTATGGAGAAATTGTAAGTACATAATATAAAAAATGTGATGCGAGGAACTATTAGGGTTCGCTCTGTCACTTTATGGAGAAATTGTAAGTACATAATATAAAAAATGTGTTGCGAGGAACTATTAGGGTTCGCTCTGTCACTTTATGGAGAAATTGTAAGTACATAATATAAAAAATGTGATGCGAGGAACTATTAGGGTTCGCTCTGTCACTTTATGGAGAAATTGTAAGTACATAATATAAAAAATGTGATGCGAGGAACTATTAGGGTTCGCTTTGTCACTTTATGGAGAAATTGTAAGTACATAATATAAAAAATGTGATGCGAGGAACTATTAGGGTTCGCTCTGTCACTTTATGGAGAAATTGTAAGTACATAATATAAAAAATGTGATGCGAGGAACTATTAGGGTTCTCTCTGTCATTTTATGGAGAAATTGAACATAATATAAAAAATGTGATGCGAGGAACCATTAGGGTTTTCTCTCTGTCACGCCAAAATAAATTAATATTAACTACATAGTAATACAAGCAGTTTTTTCGAAAAATGATTAGATATTTTTATGACTACCTCCTACATATTATAAAAATCGAATACTTACAAAACTAATCTAATTACAGGTGTCACCCCAAACCGTACCGGCAATGAAATAAATAACGAGATGCAAGACATCACCCTTGATGACGGCATTATGGGCCAGCCTGACCTCCTGCTTTCACCAAGCATGACGGCAGCAGTGCCCATGGTAACTGAAATTACCTCCGAACCACGGCCGTCGTCTGTGCCTCACACTATGGAGGTCGAGTTAGATGAGTCAATTTTAAGTTTGTTGGGGGATGCTCCGCAGAGTGCAATTCAATTAGGGCCACCAGTACACAAAGATATCGCATCTCGATGGCAAGACATTTTACTAAGAGGGCTTAAAGAAGATACAAAGTTGAAACTTTTAAGTGATTATGTAATACCTCGGGTTAAAGACATTTATTTCTCTTAAAGAACACATTGTTCACTTTTACAGAGATTAAGTATACATACAAAATAATATTACCAGTATTTACACGGTAGCATGCATTATATAATTCTATTATGTTTTATTCTTGTATGTATATCCTTAATTAATTTGTTACTCTTTTTCTTACTTAATGCAAACATATGTATGTATTATATCGTAATATTTTAAAAATATGAATATTGTATTAATGCAATTACAGATATGTTCAAAATCGAAGATATGCAGTTATGAAATTTTATCTACAATATATGATTTTAGTTTATTCTTAAAATGCTTAATATTATTACAATCTTTTATAGTATCCGGTAGATTATTATACAAAAGTACACCCTCACACATAATATTTTTATTGCCATAAGATCTCGTCCGAGGCTGCCAGATTTGAAGTTTGTTTTTGTTTCTAAGATTATGTGTAAGAAATTCACACTTTGGTGTGAATGTAATTGTTGAATGTATGTTTTTAGATATTATTTTTTTAATAATAAGGCATGTGTTGTATGTATATAATTGTTTAATGTTTAAAAATTTAGTTTTTCTGTATAGCTCCTTAGTCGGGGTTAGGTAGTTATAATGAAATAGTGTTTTTATTAGTTTACTTTGTGCTCGTTGTAACTTACTTATGTGCGTTTGTGCGGGAGAACCCCATATCTCTATAAGGTACTCCAGGTGTGGCTTGGCTAGGGCGTTATAAACAGTAGATTTGATTTTGTATGGAATACAGTTTGATACCTTTCGCAATGCTCCCGTAAGTGATGCTAATTTTGATGCTATTTTGTCTATATGAGAATCCCATATCAGTTTGTCATCTAATAATAGACCTAGGTACTTTTCTTTTTTAGATCTTTTAAGAGTAATATTATTAATCTTAAGTGGTGTGTAGGTAGGTATTTTTTTATTTTTAGCACAGAAAACCATAAATGATGTTTTGGCCACATTAATTGTGAGAAGATTGTATGAAAACCACTCATTTAATATATCTAAATCCTTTTGTGCTTGTGATATAATTTCATGAATTGAATGTGCAAAGTAAAAAAGACAAGTGTCATCTGCGTAGAGTGATAAGTGACCTGACAGGTTTAAATTTACTATGTTGTTTATGTATGTAAGAAATAACAAAGGGCCTAATATTGAGCCTTGTGGAATGCCACAGGTAATTTGTTGAGGACCACTTTTGTAGTTAGATATTTGTACAATCTGTTGGCGGTTAGCGAGATAAGAGGCCAACATATCTAGTGCTGTACCTGTTATTCCTATATTATTTAGCTTTTGTAATAGTTTTGAGTGGCTTACCGTATCAAAAGCCTTTTTTAAGTCTATGAATATTCCTAAGCAGACATGTTTTCGATCAATGTTTGTCTTTATTTTTGTAACTACATCAATTGCTGCTGACAATGTGTTAGATTTTGATCTAAAACCATATTGTTGTTCAATGAAAAAGTTTTTGGCGTTAAAATACTCATTAAGTCTTTTATATATTACTTTTTCAAAGACTTTAGAAATAACAGGGAGCACCGATATGGGTCTGTAATTACTAGGATCAGTTTTTGTCAGGAAATAAACCATTTGATAGGCGTTTATTAATGCAATTTGTGAGGTCAGTGGCAATGACATTTTTAATGCATTTAAGGGCCTTTGGACTTATTCCATCGATCCCCGTACTTGTATGGTTATTAATATTATTAATAATTTTTAACACTTCTTTGACACTACAAGGTTGTAATTCACTTAAAGTTATATTATGTTGGTAAGTATTTTTATACATTAAGGTATGAACTGAGCTTGTATGGTATTTTGGATGTATATTATTTGCTAATTCTGTACCAATAGTCAAAAAATAGTTATTAAAAGTTTCACAAACCTTGCATCCATCAGATATAATACCGGAGATGGTGGAGAGCTTAGGCACTGCACAACCATTCTTAATTTTGTTTACAGCTAACGTATTGATCAGGTCCCACATCTTTTTAGGTTTATTTTTACATTTAGTGAATTCATTACAGTAATATACTTCTCTAGATTCTCTAATCATTTTACTCACGCTTTTCTTTTCTAAATTATATCTATTTAATATGTCTTCATTTTTACTATCTTTTTTTAAGCTATTCCAATAAATATTGCGTCTTTCTGTACCTTCGATTATGCTTTTGTTAATCCAGTCCTTCTGTGGTAAGTTTAGTATTTTAGTTTTTGTCATTTTATTTTGTTCAATTTGTTCCATTATGTAGTTTTCAAGATAGTTGTAGTCACAGTTCTTATTTATATGCTGGGTTTCTGTGCATCTTTTTATCAGGCCATTGTAGTCCAGGGCAGTATAATGGACCCGTTGCAGCGTTTCTGGCTTATATTTACATACTTCCACAAATATTTGTTTGTGGTCAGATAAGGACGATTCAAGGATAGAGAGTGAAAACATATTATTGTTTTAATTTGTACATACGTGGTCTAATATAGTATGGGTTGTAGCTGTCTCACGTGTACAGTATTCCTTCTCCACTTTGTTTAATATTTCGTAACCAGATTCTTCTATCGTTCTCAAGTAGTTAATGATATTGTTATTAGTATTTAAGAGGTCCAAATTAAAGTCACCTAAAACTATTGCTCTTTTACGGGTCTCTAGTTGGTTGGAGTATATGTCCAAAAATTTATTTACGTTTGACTCACCGGGTTTATATATCCCACCTATATTAAGTGCAAATTTGTTTATATATATCCATAGATAATGATTTCCACTCTCTGTTAGCTCTTCTGTCAAGTCATATTTAATACTATTGTGAATGTATATAGATACTCCACCCCCCTTGTTTACTTTTCTGAAATTGTAAATATGCGTGTAATTAGTCAAATGATATTGACAAGCATCCTGCTCTGACGTAAGCCAGGTATCGGTGAAAATAAGTATATGAAGTGACATAGGTACTGCTTGAAGTATACATTGAATTTCCTCGAACTTTCCTGGTTTTTTAATACTTCGTAAATTAGCATAGAAAATTTTTAAAGAATTTGTGCTTGTAACAGGTAGATCTTGGTACTTTTGGAGTAAGTGGTGCGTGATGTAATTGTTGTCCGTAGTAATAGGATATTTTATAACCGAATCTCGAATAGTGCGTTTTAATCGTTTTTTGACTTGACTATTTTATCTAACAATCTTGACAGACTTATACCACCCATCTTAAATGCTGAGCTAAAAGCTGCATTACCTGATACATTAGTTAAACGTGATTTTTCCTTACAACAACGACAAAAACAAATAGCAATAACTTTGTCTGCACTTAGTTCATCTATGGATATATTATTGACAAATAAAACTCCAGATACACCCCAAATTATATTAAAGTCCTTAAGCGATGCATGTAGACTTCTTTGTGATAGTTTTTATTATGAAACTCGTTTAAGAAGACTTTTTATTATTAATGCGATAAACATTCAGATTAGAAACGCAATTATAGACACTATACCTGATAAATATCTATTTGGAGAAAATATTAGTGACAAATTAAAAGCGGCTCAAAATATTAAGAAATCGAGCGCTATTTTAAAACCAAGCCATAGACCCCCGTTTAATAAGAATAATTTTATTAGGAATCCACCATCTGCCAATTCCAACAGGAATTTAAACCAAAAAGGCCCATCTCGGAGGATTGCTGTTCGATCCGACATGGGCAGGCCGCGGCCACAGCCTCGAACAGTCCCAACCACAGAACACGGAATAAGACATTAGAATGGCGTTGTGGGTGGGGCACGCGTGCCACTGATTTGCCCAAACGGTCATATAAATCCCGAGACACGTGATCGCGCTCATAAGTCACTCACGAACGATCTCACTGTGCGCAAGTGAAACGCGGCGACTAATTTTGACGAAAAATGCCTACTTGTGCTGTTATTAGTTGCAAAGCAAGGAGTGAAGTGTCGAATGTAGCCAAAGGAGGAATTTCTTTTCATCGGTAAGTAAAAAACTTCTCAAATTTACGGTTTTTAAGTAAAAATCTGTAAAATGTTATTAAAATTCTAAAAAATATACATTGCTGGCAAAGTACGCATACCATTTTTATAGTGTCGTTTTAAGCACGCAATGTAAAGGTGACACATGATCCTAGTGAAGCGGCACGCACTCTGTAGCAATTTATCAATAAGTTTCAATTTATTTTGGGTAGTAATCTTCATTATATTTTTTTATAAAAATAATTATTAATGGCATTGATCATTACGCTAAGCATTTTATCGATATCTTTATCGATTCGGATTCTTAGGTAAAAGGGAATGCCGGAAAGTGGCGTCATTTTTATTTCACGCGGCCATCAACCAAACCTTGTTATTTGGATTCAGAACAGTGTAAGAAGAACAACTTTGTATGACAAGTTGTAGTGTTATACTACTTACGTATCATTTTACATTATTTTAAATTCATTTTTCCATTCTGTTTCGATTTTCTGCATTCACCTCAAAACTGGATATTTTACATCACCTTTATTTCCATAGGATCCTGTAACGATTTTAAACCATAAGAACACAATAACAAATCATTTCTACTTCGTATTTTCACATTATCAGCACTTTTAAATTGGTGTCAATGGAGTCTACCTTTTTTCGATCTTTTAGCTAGTTTTCCGTAACTCTACAATCTTGGGGTTTGTGTGGACAGCTGCGCTGCGCTACCTTTTTTCCTATATCAATAATATCTCATTTTCCACTTAAATCTTACCGTTTTCTTATTATAAACCAAAAACAAAAATTTGACATGTTTTGTCTTTCTTATTTATATCGTTTCCATGGTAATTATATTCAAATTTGCTACCGATCTGTTATTCCTATTTCGATAATTCCACATAAATCCTCTTTTCTCTTGACCATTTACAAAAAATTTGCGTATAATTTAAATAATTTTTCCGTTCTCTCTAGAAAGGTATAAAAGCCGAACAATCGGTGAAGAAAGGCAGTCTCGCTTCAGTTCGCGAATTGGAAGTATCTCCTAAAGGCCTTATCCC